CTTGCTTGGCAGGCAGATTCTTTATCACAGAGCTACCTGGGAAGCCCTGATAGTAAGTTGTGATTTCCTCTTGCAGTGGAGTCGGGAGCCTCCCCATCTTCACTGCAGCCCTTCTGCTCTGGTTAACTCGCAAGTCCCAAAATGAGACCCAGGCTGGGTCTGCAGTATGCAGGTATGACAATGTGTTTTTCCTCCTCCTTCCCAACCCCCTGGCAAAACGTGACGTTAATATCATCAGATTTCCAGCATTTCAATGTCTGAGATGTAGTCAGCATTACAATACTGGCAAACCACTCCCCAATACTAGGAATAGCGTAAGACTCACCCTCCCCCCAAGTAATTTTCTATCCCATTGCCCCTTTTAGACCCACCAGCTTCAGTGGTCTTATTTGTGTGTTTACCCCCACTGGCGTGTGCAGCCCTTGGAGGCAGGGTCTTGTTCCCGCCCCCCGGAACTCCAGAGCACTAATCAGGGCTGGGCAGGCAGCAGGCTCAGTAAGGATGGTAGGATGGTACAGGAGGTAGAGCAGTGCACTACCCAAATCATCACACTTGTTGAGACAATCTACAAGTCAACATCCACACAGTTAGGCATCATGAGACTTGAAACGTGGCATGCATCATGACTGCACACTAGAAAACCAAGAGAAACATCTGGATAATTATTTCAACTAAGAAAGAGTTAAGGTGGCTGGATATAAAAAGTACAAAATTTCAGAGCTTTCTTATTTCTTACCAATTAGATGATATAATAGACACCCCCCCTCCCAAATATGACTTTCATAATTCACCAAAAATTATAAAGTAATAGAATGGATTAACAGTAATCTGGTCTATCCTAACAGTAATAGAATAAATTAACATACAGAGGGGTATATAATAAGTTTGAATAAATGGGAAAGAAGTGTGTTAGAATAAGAAACTCAATATAGCTAAGATGTCAGTTCCTCTACTACTAATTCATAGATTAACAGCATGACAATTAGAGTCACAATGAGATTATTTTTAGGGGGAAGAGAAGGTTTCAAGTTATTCTGAAGTTTATTGGAAAAAAAATAAATGGGTGGCAATAACTGAGAAAAACTATAAAATCAAAGAGTAATAAGAAACTATGTTATAGGTTATATTACCAGGTATAAATCGAGCCATGAATCTAAGACAGTGGAGGAAATCCACACAATGTGGAGAAAGTAGGTCAATGGAATAAATTTTTAAGCCCAGAAACATAACTAATTTGATTAAATGAGTTAGTTGCACAAGAAAGGAGACAAACAGAGTCAATAGCAAAAGGAAATAACAAAAAGAGAAAGAATTAGTTATGTATTTGAATAAAAAGTTTAACTAGGTTTCCTATTACATATAATAGACTCAAACAAATTAGAGGTTAAATATAAAAAAGGGAAAAGGAACAACAATAAAATTATAAAGCTCTGAAATATATATGTGTGATTTATAATCTTATTTCAGGATTATTAAAGGCTTTCTAAATACCTAAAATAGAAACTATAGGAGTACACATCTTATGATTTTATTATATACCAAAGGGGGAGAACCTCTATATGTAAATAAGACCATAAAATCAAAAAAGCAAATAGTAAGCTGGGGAAGTATCTGCAAAATATATCACAGAGTGTTAATATTCTTAATATACAAAGAGATCTTACAGGTCAGTAAGCAAAAGACAAGTGCCTAGTGCAGCAACGCGCAAAGGAGACATCTAGACGATGCAAGATAAGGAACACAGGTGGCCGAAAGACACAGAGATGTTCAACCTCAGCACGAACCGAAGTAATCCAAGTAAGCGAGGCGTGAAATATTTTTTATTGCTTGTGAGATTAGCATAGGCTCTAAAAATGTGTAAAAGTGAAATGAGCACTCACTTTACAGAAAGAAGTTTATTTTATATAAGACCTCTTTAGAAATGAATTTGGAAGTATGTAACAAGAATCTTGTAAATGTTTATATCTGTTTACTGAGTCACTTCAACTACAGGCTTTTATTCTAAGACATTAGTAAGTTATGCATAAAGATTTCAGAATAAGTGTGTATCAGGTCAGGCCTATGTGAATGTAAAAGTTACTAGAAGGGAAGGCACAAAACATTGATCTGATTCAATAACATGAAGATACAAAATGAATAGAAACAAACAAACAAAAAAGCTAAAAAGAAACATCAGTTAATCCAGGGTTCTAGACCAAAATGGCAGAATTCTAATAAGCTGACAGTGAAAGATGAGGTTGAGTAGTGTGGCAAGCTCTTTGTCAAGTTGCTCTAAAATAACTAATGCCTATCTTTCAGCTAAAAAAAAAATCCATCGCTTAAAAGCAGCAATGATTTACTTTGAATTAAGTGTGCTGGGTTGGAATTCTTCCTATGAGACAGTTCTATGAACAACAGGGCAGAAATCACTCTTGCTGGACCCCCGTTGATGACACTGTCCCGGGCTTAGCTGAGGGCACCACGCAGCCGGGAGCCCTGTGACCGGGAGGGGCCTCCTTCCCCTAAGTGGTGCTGGGCCCCGGTGGATGTCATATTCCCACTTCTGAGTCCCTACTTGTTTTTGGTTTTAATTAATTTATTTTAATTGGAGGATAATGACAATACCGTGACGGTTTTTGCCGTACATCAACATGAGTCGACCACGGGTGAATGCGTGTCCCCCCTGCCCCCAATCTTGAGTCCCCCTCCTGCCCCCCTCCCCACCCTATCCCTCTGGGTTGTCCGGAGCGCCGGCTTTGGGTGCCCTGCTTCATGCACTGAACTTGCACTGTTCGAGCCCCTACCTGTATTCCAAGGAGGATGGAAACTCTACCAGGCTCCCTGAATGGCAGCGCGCCCGGTGTAGGCTGATTACCCGGTTGTAATAAAGTGAGGGTGCGACTGTGGAAAAAGGATTTCGTTTGTGCCTCCCATTCACCCAACAGCAAGACTTTTAAAGGGAAGGCAACTGGACATTGCGAACTCAATCCCTTGGCTGAGGCCCACGACATAACATCTCCTGGGGATGTGATAAGGTTTATATGGCATTGGTGTGTTTTCTGTTTGTTAACGAACAGGACATTTTCCTTAGGACAGGAAGTGGCGGTTAAGCTCCAAAGAGTACAAATCGCAAGATGACGTTCAAACCCCAAGTCTCACATAGCCCACACGGCTTCAAATTGCCAGGACTCTTTCCTCATCCTACTTGCCTGGCAAGTTCCCACCCTCTCTTCCCACACCCACGGACATTCCCCGGAGCCTTGTCCCACCTCCTGGGGTGCAGCCAAGCGCATCACCTTGGGCCTTCACACCCCCTCACCTGCCCCGACTATGGGACTGCACTGATTCATCTACGCATCTCTCCCACCACCCAGAGGCTGAGATTCCGGAAGGCAGGGATAACACCTCATATTTCTGCTCCCCCGGGGTGCAGGACAGTGACCAGCACACATTAGAAACTTCATACATGCTTGTTGATTTGAATAAGTAAATGGAGAGATGTGGCATGATGGTTAGAAGGGGAAGTGGAATGTTGGTGAAAGGGTGACTGCCTTGCATAGAGGTTCTAGAGGTCAGGAACTTGGGATTCACACAATGCACAATCCCTGGCATGGGACAGATACTCAATAAGTACTTTTTGAACAACAACAACAAAATAGATTAATGATGACATCAGCTTTTTGTTCACTATAGAAAAAAAATTTTTTCTTGGGCACTTTTCTCTTTTCCCATAAAGTTAGCACACCATCCTGAAAGGGAAAATTCACATATCTCTTGGAAGGAAGGTCAGTAGGCCATGAGAGCCCATAGGGTAACCTTATCTGCTTCCTGGAGTGAACTAATGTCTCTGTTACGAGAAAGCCCAGTTTTACTTTGATTAGTAACAACAGCTGACATTTGTGTGGTGTTTATGAGTTTCCGCAGTACCTGCTATCACACCTCTGTAATGGAGGCAGGCCAGGCCGGATCAGCCTCATGGAAAGCGCGGTCAGTTACCTACCCAGCACCTTGCAGCACGCGGCGGTAGAACACAGGCTGGCGGACCCCAAATTCTATCTCCTTTTTATTAGCCTCCTTTTGCCAACAATGTCATTCACACCGTGGAACGATGGGGTCAGCATCATTCCTCTTTAAAAGCATTTAGCATTTCAGAAAGGAAAAAAGGCAGCGTGTTTAAGAGGCAGGGACACATGTTAGGAATGACTACAGCACAGAAATCTATTTTGAGAAAATCGGATGTAAGCTGGAGACAAGAAAGGAAACAACTGAAATCTATGAAGGGATTCCATTTGTTGGAGGAGTCCGAGTTTGCGGGTGGGAAGACTTTAAGTTCTTCTCACCACCTTTCCTCTGATAAGAAATCACAGAAAGCAAATGCCAGAGCATGGTTTGCTAAGACTCTTAAACAACAATGAACCACAATACCCTGAAGGGCTTGCATTGCACCCCGAGGCTGGGAATTTCTCAATACATCTATTTCGAGAAACACTGATTTTCTCTGATGATGAACCAAAGACAAATCCTCCTTTAGAATGCAAAAAACCAAAGCTGTGTCGAAGACGTAACAGTGACAATACAAAACCAAGAGAGTCTGAAATTTTGCAGGTCCAATGGTTTCCTTTAAATCTTGCTCCAAACTGGTTATTTCCATTTTTCTATACACATTTACGACAAATTAGGACTAATCCTTGATACTCTAACAGTGAATTGATGTTTTTCAAAGGGCCCTTAAATCCTCCATCACATGTAAGATGCAACTTTCAACCGCCCAGCCCCGGAAAAGCCTAGTGGTCCATGCATCTGTGACTCAAAGAGCCACAGTTTGCTTGTGGGCAGTCCTGGGACCCAAGGGTGTAGGGGAAACAAGCACCCACAGAAGGAATGAGAGTGTGTCCCTTAGCCTACAGTCTAATGGGCAAAGCCTCCACTTAACCCAAGAAGCTCAGCACTGTCTCCCACATCGGGGCCACCCATCACTGGAGTCGGGTCGGATCTCTTCAGCAGGCCGGCTGTGAGCTTACCTGAATTTGGTGAAATGTGCAAGCTGCTCATGTCCTTGGACAGGCCATTGGTTTTCGGGCTGGAGATGGGTGCGCAGGCCGACGTGGCTCGGGGGGGCCTCTTCCCTGGGACTTTCACAGTGGTTCTCAGAAGATCAATCTCTTTACCGTGAACATTCTGCATGTAATCCTGTTCAAAACGTTAAACATCCAAGAGAGATTAAAAGGGAGACCTTCTACAATCTAGGACAAGAGGTTCTATGAGACATCGTGAACATCGTGAGACATCGTCATCCTATGACCCTTCCTCGGTGGTGAGTGCTTTAAAAAATAAGGAGGCTTTGATCTGGCTTGTCCTGGTGGCATCATCATTACACTGAAATCAGCTCTGCCTCTGTGTCCTGAACTAGCCCAGGCCCTGGAGATACAGGAGACGCAGTAGATGCTTCTATGCAGGAGGATAAAGAAAATAAATACAGACATGAAATCCTACTCTGTGAGTTGATACCTATCAGATGGCACATGAGGAGCCTGGGCTCTTCCTGTGAGTTGCAGGGAAAATTCCATGGAGTAGGAACTATTTTGTAATAACCTTTTTGTCTCTGATGGCGACACCCCAGAATGCCTAGCTAAGACTGAAGTTGGCTGCTGGGAACTCAGGTAAACACTCTTAAGAGGCCAAGTGTTTTGTTCAGGAAGATATCTGAGGGGTCAGTGGTAGGGTGCTGAAAAAACATGGAGGTCCCTGATGGATGTACAAGAGCTGGATGTTCAAACAGAAAGCACATCATTTATATTCAGTATGAGGTTTCTTCAAGGGAGCCACTGTACTCAGAAGCAGTGTCTTGCTGCTGTCTGTGTCTTGGAGGCGAATGACTAGCAGTTATCATGAAACTAAAAGAAGTCTAGGTACACAGTGAGTTCTCTGGGCCGTCATCCGATTCCATGTGGAGGAAAACAACACTTAGGAGTCAGCTGATGGATAGGGAGAGAGGAGGTGGCGACTGAGGGTCAGAGTGAGGGGTCTCTTGGTGCATTAGGATTTATTGATCTTTTCATGCATTTTTATGGGCAATAAGCCCCCTTATCTCTGCAGACATATCATTAAACCAACATTGCACACTGAGAAATGATGCAGTCTATCTAAATCACTGTTGGGTAAATAATATTTCAAGTGTTTTAAGACTAATCAGGGAAGGAAATGAACAGATTCCTTCCTTGGCAGAATCCTTTGTGTGTGTTTGCTAAGTCGCTTCAGTCGTATCCGACTCTGTGCGACCCCATGGACTGTAGCTCTGTCCATGGGATTCTCCAGGCCAGAATACTGGAGTAGGGTTGCCACTTCCTCTTCCAAGGGATCTTCCTGACCCAGGGATCGAACCCATGTCTCTTATGTCTCCTGCATTGGCAGGCGGGTTCTATTTACCCCTAGTGCCACCTGGGAAGTCTGGCAGAGAATCCTGGGGGCATTCATTTTATGATGTCAAAGAAAACCAATACATGTGTATTTAGTATAAGCAATCAAGTTCAAGTCAATCTAATTTTAGAAGAACTACCAAAGGAGCCAGTATGTGGGCTGCAAGGGACCCAGGGAGACGGGAGCAGCGAGCCGTTTCCTTAGAGCTGCCCGTCAACAGGGTCAGTAGATGAAGGGAGAGAAGGTGATGGTCTAGCAGCAAACTGCACAGCCAGAGGGACCAGGAAAGTCGGTCAAGGTGTGTGACGGACGCTCAAGAGGAAAAACAACGTACCAGGGAAGCCAAGAGAAGGACCCCACTGGCTTCTTTTAATTGCAAGACAAGGTCAATATTTCAGGAGGTGAAGCAGCTGAGAAGCAGGGACTGGTCTATCCAAAAGCAGGAAGTTTTCTGATAGAAATTACGGCCCAAGAAAGAATCCAAAGTCCAAGATTCCAACACAGGGCAAGAACCCAAACTGAGTTGTCAGGACAGACAGAGCCGTCCTCTCTCGGCCATATGCAGAAGGGAGGACCAGCTAAGCGTCACACCTCCCCCTGGAATTATGCAGTTGAAAGTCATGGCCACGTGGGGGTCACCCCAAACTCAGGAAGGGGGCTGGGAGAATTCTCAACAGAGGAGGAGGAAGTGCTGGAAGAGAAACTCCACCACACGAGGGGAGCCTGTGATGAGAATACAGAACCCCAGAAGGTTCAGCAAGAGAAGATGCAACGGGGTCACAGGCGACCACCCAAGGACAGACCTCATACGGCCAATTCTTAGCATAGAACGGAAGCTCCAAAAGCCACGGCTGGACTCAGGAGGGACGTGGGACTGTAGACAGATAAAGGATCAGGGGCTGCACCACAGCGGGGGCGAACTCAGACCAGCTCCTCCAGGGAGGGACGAGGCTGGGCCTTCCTCAGTGATGATAAACCATCCAGATGGAAGCGCCTGCACCAGATCGTACGCTGTCAGTCGGGGAAGCCGGGGGCATAGGCGCTGATGCAGCCGGGGCTGGACCAACTGGGCATGTCATCTCCCATCTCTTGGTGGGGGGGGGGGCATCTGCCAGGGCTGGCCATGGGCATATTGGAAGGAGAGTCATCGCAGGTTTCAGGAAGGGAAATGCTGTGTCCAACTGGGAACAGACTAACGACTCCATTTGAAAGTTAGGATGCTTAGAAACTGCTAGAACCTGCCCCCCCAACCCCCAACATCCACCACAAATATTATTTACTATGAAAAAACTGTGACTTCAAAAGGATGAGGACAAAGGATAGAAAGAGAGTCGTTATCCTTAAATTAGGCTGAAGGGTAAGGCGGACGGGAGGAAACACCAAGGTCGCATGACGCAGCTCATCAAGAGGATGGCGAACCAAAAACACATGGAAGAAGTGACCTTCAGTCAGCACAGGACCAAGGGTCAAGGGCATTGTGAAAAAAAGGTTGTTCTCAAGCAGTTTGCATTTACTTCCCTTGATGCCTACTGAAAAGGGGCAAACCTCAAGTTTCAAAACCAAAGTTAGGACTTGTAAATAATGAATTCCTTCTTGCATAGTTACTCCTTTAAAAATATCAACTTGCTATAACTTTCTTCTTTAATGCCAATTCTTAACAAATTAAAATACAATAACAGGAGTGTAATTGAGCATTTATGGCTTATGGGCTCTGAAATGAGCCTAATCAGAGAGGAACTAAGCCTCAGCATGGCCTCCTTTTTAATAGGCATGTTTTAACATACAATAACCAGGATATTTTATTTAAAATTATTATAGAAATGTACCAAGTGCCAGCTCTCCAGATCTGAACGCAGCGAAGGGACCCATTTATCTTTGGCTCAGCACGGGCTGAGGGAATCTGTTTTTCCTGCCTGGGTTAGGCACTTCAAAGCACAGAAGAATTAGTTCCTAAGAAATTCAGAGGGTAAGTTTGGCAGTTCCTAAATTTCAAGCCTCTAACATTGCTAAAACCTTTACAAGATGCATCTCCTAGTCCACACAAGTCTTTCAGCTTGGTGTTTTCAGAAACAGGTGGATACCTGAATCAGTGGCTTCTAGCTTCTCCCAAGAGAAACCACACGGGAGTTTTCTGATTTTGAAAGAATTACCCTTTTCATCTGGCCCCAGCTTGGGACTTGAGGAATTGAAGTTACAACCTCTAAATAATGTCACCTCTTTAGAAGTGGGACGTGGGGCACAGTGGTCCAAAGTAGGGACCTTGCAGGGCGAAATAAAGCCTGCGAGCTTGATTTTGATATGCAAATGTTCCAGATACATCCCTTCCCCATGTTCCTGGTAGAAAAATGCTGATCGAGGATAAAAGGGGAAAAAACCCTTTAACAAGGCATGAGGGTAATTCAAAGCCAAGTACTTTTAAACAGCACTTAACAAGTCCCTGGGGCCCACTCAAGAGCCCAGGCCCCCAGAGGTGCCATCTCCTGCCCCTCAACAGCTTGAAAAAGTAGTAATTGCAAACCTATTTGCATTTTTCTTCTCAAGTTGTCCGCGCTCGTCGCCTGGATTATTTTTTGCAAGCGGGCGCCGGAGCGGAGGGACCCATCCCCGACCGGGTGGATGGAGCTCGGTAACCGCGCCTGGCGCCCCCCTGTCACCCGGCTCCCGCACCTTTGCCATCCCGTGTTTTTTACATTTTCTCCTAATTATGTTGCATCTATTGCCGTACACTTAATTAGCTGCATTAATGTGATTTCTTTTCACATAGTCAAGCAATTAAGAGCTATGATTGAGTTTCATTCAATTAGCCTCAACAAACATGCTAATTGATGTCCCAGATGCAAATGAGGTACAGTGAGGGAACCTGCTAGCAACTGAGAGCGTGTCAGGGACCCGCAGCTTCCAGCTTGCTGACGGCAGCGTGGCTCCACGTGGCTCCCATCTTCCTCGGGCCGCCTCTGGAGACGGCGCGGAGCCCTGAGCACCGCGGTGGGTGTACCAGATCCCTCCTGACTGGAGCGTTAATGAATGCGCCGCGGTAACGGTTTTGTCCTAAAATCTCACGGTTACAACTTACCAGGCCAGAAGACTGGTATCAAGTCCCTATCAAAAACAAAACAAAACAAAACAAAACAAAACAAAAAACCTTCCAGGAGTTCTCCCCATGCAGCCAAGGGAACAATGTGTGAATCTCGTCTTGGCCATCCCAGAGCCCCTCTGTGTGTGTGACGGCCTACAGTTCTCAGTAAATGGTGAGTTCATCTTAGTCAGCTTGGGGGCATTTGGCCCTTGAAGTTAAACTCAAAATACAGCAATCCATCAATAGTCCCTAAAAATACTCTTACTATATTGATTCTCACTGCTTCCCATCCCTTTGTTACCTTTGGCTGTCTGGTGAAAGATGGTCTGCTTCATGTGTTCATAGGGTACCAAAAAGCAGTTTAACAAGATCTCAGAGCGAAACCCAAATGCATCCATGATGTGATTGGCATCTCAAAGTTAGATCATCAGAATAAAACACATAGCTCTGAAATGCAATCAACATCACTCCAGTTTCACATATACTTTTTAAAGGTATTAAGACTATTCGTTTCCATGATTACATGATGGAAAAAATTACAGGAATCTGTGTTCCAATTAGGTTTTCTCAGTAAGTTCTGGTTCCTAACTGTACATAAAATGTTGAGAAATTTACAATTTTCTATTACTCTCTAATATGTTGTCTAAGTGAGATAACTGTTAGGACAGACCAATGCTTTGCTTTGGTCTTTGTGTCA